CCACACCTTGTGTTCTGATCGTGACTATGACTGGGCTCCGGCCAACCACTTTCTTAGAAACACTAATGCTCACTTTCATATTGGAGAGTCTAGAACCTTACTCAAAGATTCTAGGATAATCCAACATGTTCTTCGCACCTCAATTCTTCCAAAAGCTAGTGATCGCGTTCATATCACTCCTCTTCTTTCGATCATAAATTTTTATATTTTGGCTCATCGTGAATTCAATGCCACTAATTTGATTTTTTGCTATATTGAGCAATTGACTATTATTCGAGATCTAGAACATAGGAGGAAGCCCAATCTTGCCCTAGGACATATCATTGCCTATGTCTTAGAATCAAAATATAACCTCTAATATCCTATCCCACCAAATTTTTAGCCTACCTTCTACTCAAACAACTCCTTTCACATTCTTCACAGTACTCGTCTTCACCCGAGGTATGAGGAAGCTGAGGGAGCTAAGGAGGAGGCAGCTCCTGCACTTACTCCGCTCTGCTAGCACTCTCAGCTAGATCAGTTGGTGGAGCAATTCGACCAATGGAAGACTCGCTTCAAGCCCTATTTCGCTGCACAGAAGTAGCAACATGTGGAGGACATTGCTCGCTTCAATGCTTACGTAGCTCACCAACAGCACTAGCACGACCAGGATATGGCCTGACTTGGGGAGTAGTTTGTGACTCTTTCTAGTTACTTTCAGCCACATCCACCACCACCATCTCCTCCTTCAGATGATTAGGGGCCATCTTTCCTTTAGTTTGCTTGTTTTTGTGTGATGTTGTTTTACTTCTATTTAGTAGTTTGTGTTATTTTTCTTTTTCCTCCTTTTATGATGTCAGAAGGGGGAGTAGTTGTACTAGTTTGTACTATTTTAGTCTGTTCTAGTTTGTTATATTTTTATGATGGATAGTTGAACTATTTGAACTGTGTTTGTTTTTTTAACTGTTTTCATTAAAACTGCTTTGAACTGCTTCAATTATTTTTTTATGTTTGCCATTAATAAAAAGAGGGTAATTATTGCGAATCTGCTTTTAAGGAGTATAATTTTGATGATAGCAAACACTTTTGTTTCTCTATGACTACCTTGCCTACTAACATTTCAAGTCCACAAGATCAAATTGCAATTTGAACTAGCTCAAGATTGGGTAGACTAGGTCTGAGTAAGTTTGCAAATTTTTCCCTTTCTCGAGTCTATTGTAAACAATGTGGTTTCTAATGCTAAGTAACCTTGTACATGTACACACACACTTGGGGAAATTTTTTTTTAACTATTTTTAGATTTCCCTATTTTTGTTACATCATACAAGATGATCCATAAATCGCCCTATATGATCAGCTAAAAATAAAAACCTTAATTAGAACATCCTGGTTAAGGAAGCCATCATTAAGCTCATCGTCCTGAACGATATTTATATTGACCGGGATGATAGGCTCAAATCAGAAAGAATCAGCCGCCAGATCTATTTAGTTATTATTTATTTTTGGGCATCGTCCAGGACATCGTCCTGAACGATGCAACACAATTATGCCTAAATTAATATAGTAATTAAGGAAAGCAATTAAGATTTGATTGCTCGATCAAATCATCCTGGACGATCTCAGGATCGGTCGAGACGATTAGTTCATAAACCTTAGTTATCTCTGGATGGCTAAACATCAACTAGATGCTATTTAGGGCGATGCTCTAGATGATTTTCAGGGATTTGAACTAATTGCCCGGGTCGATTGCGAGATCGGCCTGGACGATCAAGCTATTTTTCCATCACCCAGACATCCATTCAGTGCAATTATTTGGATGATATTTAACAATTTGTACTAATCGTATAGGACGATATACTATCGTCCTAGACAATATGAACAAAAACTTTTTGATCGTCCAAAATCGTCCTGGCTGATTGAGCTTAATTTATACTGATCGTATAGGATGATAAAGCCGATTTGTTGCAATTAAGAGCTATTATGAAGCTCTTCTATATAAGGCCTCTTGCTCTACCCAAGAGATTATCTTTTGCTATTGTCTTGACCTAAGAGAGCTTAGAGGAGAGGGAGAGAAAGGGAGAGAGAGGATCTTATGAGGGGAAGTTTGTGAGGGGTTTCACAAAGGTTGCTCCAAGAAAGGATCCAAATCATCTTCTCTGATCATCATCCATTGTTCTTAGAGGTTTGAGAGAGGTCCACTTCAGCAATCGATAAAGGTTCTCTGTCTGCTTCAAGAGGAAGAAAAAGGAGTTGGGTTCTCTACCTCACTGGTGTCGGTGGAAAGGAGGTTTTGTACAGGCTTCTTCGCCTTACTGTGGGAGCAAAAGGAGAGTCACTGAGTTAGTGCAATACTCGGAGGGCGCCTCCGAGGAGTGGACGTAGATTGAGTTGACCGAACCACTATAAATTTCTATGTTCTTTACTACTGCTTTTTCCGCATTTAAATTTTCGCAAGTTAAGTTTTTTTGTAGTGAATTTTGGTTTGGTTTGTGTTTTTGATTGAAAGATTTTTTAAAAAAATTCATTAAAGAAAGTTTTCGATATAAATTTTAAAAGGTGAAAGAAATATTTTATAAAACATTCACCCCCCCCCCCCCCTCTTGGTTAACTTGGGCTAGTTCATAAGGGCTTAACATCCCTAACGAACTTTCATTTATACTCTGTGAATCGTCTGTACAAAAAACCATCATATAGTACAAACAGTTAAAAAATTTAAGACATGATTTGATTAACTTTATGTATAATTAGTTTTAAAATTCTTAAGTTTTGACACACTCCCCTAGTGTGTGTGTGCACGGTTACCCAATTATAATCACACTCTCTCAGACTCAAGAAAAATATAAAATTTATAGACTTCATTACTTGAAACCCTAATCTACTCTGTCTTGAAGTCTTCAACATTATAGAGTATGATTTCTCTGAAATGTTAGTACATATAATCAACAAATAAAAAATGTACCCAATGTATGTTAGGAGAGACAGTAATCAAAACAATAATATTTTGTTATCATAAAAAAAATCACATTTTATAAAACTCAATCTTGAAGTCTAAGTTGTAATAAAAAGCATAAATAGTAGTAATAAGAAAAGAATAACTAGAGCTAATCTTCAAAGAGCCATGAATAAGTTGACTCGTAGAAAAAAAAATAAAAGAAATTAAAGAAATGTTAAAAGCATTCCATTCAAGCCAAATTCTCCTAGGATTAGAAACATTAAGATTATTATAACTATTCTCATTTAGAAAAACCTGAAGACTAATAGAGAACCCTAGAATTCTCCAACATAGCTAAACTAACTTTACCTTTAAGAATAAAAATTAAATCAACATTAAAACACCTAAGAGGTTTACAAAGAACTTTCTCTAGACTATTAAAACCTAGAATATTTAAAGCAAAAATGTTAGGAAAGAATATTAAGTTTTGAGAGAAGAATTCGATTCCTTCCTAGCATTCTTAGCTCTAGTCGACTTATAAGCTACATCGGCAATTTTAAGACCATCTGATTAGAGGAATCAGACTCTTTCATATTTATATTTAAAGATTATCTTAATAAAGAAATCTTAGATTCATCACCTTGATACGCAATACCTTGATATGCAATAGTTTGTAAATCTTCTTTCTGTAAGGCTTAAAACTTATTTTGGTTTTGAATTTGAAAATTATAATTATTTAAAGAATTAACCATAATCAAAATAACAGAAGAATCCCTAAGGATCTTTAGAGGGAGAAACGTTCGAAGGAGAATTCAAATTAGGAATAACACCTCAATTGAAGGAGCATAAACAAGATCCATCGAAATAACAAGAATAATATAATTTGTATTAATAAGATTAACTTTAAAAGAAGGAACAAAAGAAAATAGAAGATTAGAAGAAACCTTCTTAGAGACCCGACTTTAATTCCTTCCCCTTAAAGAATCTTTCTCCATAGGATAAATCTTAGGATTAGACGGACAAAGAGAAGGAGGATGAACAATCAAACCATTGCGAGAGCAAGGAATCATTTTCTAATTATAAAAAACCTTTAATGTTAAAATAGTTTGAGCTACATAAATATTTATTTTACCAGGAAGGGTAGAATCATTGTTAACCAAAATACACACCATAGCAAATGTAAGGTGCAATTGCTTAGTAGTAAGAGAATCAACGACAATAGGAACTCCAACTAAACTAGCAATTTTCAAAATACTCTCAGGAGTCCAACAAACCAAGGGGAGATCTAAAATTTTAATCAAGAGAGGAATTGAGACAAATTCCTCATGCTTAAGATGAAAATAAGTGGCTTTTTTTAATAATAAAAGGTTTCCAAAAAAAAAAAAAAACCACGTACCTCACTTCCAAACAAGATCAAAGTCTTCCGGGAAAGAAAACTTCATTAAGAAGAATCCACTGCTCAAAGAAAGAAGCGTAAGCATACCTTTGAGCTTCTAGGCTTTCAACATCACTGTAAGCAAAGCCTAAAAGAAAGGTTGCTTATCTAAAGAGTACTCCACCAAAGTTAACCCCTAGGATTTTGAAGCGTTTGAACTTTGTCATAAGAGAAAAGAACCAGGTTATCTTTCGAAGGAACAAAGGAAACGAAAAGAATCATCGGAAGAGGAACGACGAGAGGTTATTTGCCCCATCCAATCTTGCGGATGAGAGGATGTTGTCACGGGTGAGATACCTGTATGAGAAGAAGGCTTCAACGGAGGAAAATCCATCGCAAGATCCATCAAGAGAAAAATGAAAAAGAAAGAGAAGATCGAAAGAGTAGTCTCCCGGCGGGAGGGCAGGGCAAGAACCACATGACAAATAGGGTTCTAAAAAAATAGTAGAGCTCCTCACGCACCTCACTCTCAACTCTCCTAAAGTTCAATTTTCTGTGGTGCATGTGGAGGTCAACATAGTCATATTTGATGAATTTTAAATTTTATGAGGTACCAAGTCAAAAATTTCTTTTATTATCATATTTTTTAAACAATTATTATTAAGATAATATAATCAAAAAGGACCCTTATCATAGCGGTCAACACATTAATTTGCAAGTTTCTTCTTGTCTTCTCGGGGAGTTGATTGGACTAGGCTCGTTTGAACTAGCCTCCTCTCCGCTTTTCTACTACTTTCTACGGAGAAAGCGAGGCGAGCTTCAAAATCCGAAATGGTGCAAAGCGACGATCGATTTCACCAAATTTCAAGGTCTCCCGAAAACTCCTTTTTCGACCGCCTCTCAAAGAAGGCTATTCTCTTGGATAGGAGGAGTCGGGGAAGCTATCCTTTCTTTTCCCTTCATGGATTCTCCTTCCCTATCCCGATTCGATTATCAAGACGCGGATGAGTATCAATCAGCAGAGGAGGCCATAGAGATTTCTCCCGATTCGGAGTCCGAAGGATATGAATTGGAGATGGAGTCCATTACTGGAAAAGTAAACTTCTTTTTTATTCCGCTCCTAAGTGATTGAATTCAATCTCAGTCTAGTCAACGAGTTCCTAAAACTCTGCTTCTTGATGATATCTAGGGCATAAATCGGTTGTGCTCGGAGCTTCTTGAATTAAAGAAAGCATCGGATGAAGATTTTCTGAAAAATATTTATTCAAATTATTCAGCCTTTATGAGGTAATTCTCTTTTCAGTACCTTATTCTGTGATCATAAACTACATATCGAGTTTGATTACTTCCAAACGATTGTACTGTTTTCATCTACCAGATTCAATTGTTCATAAACTATGTCACCAAGTTTAATTATTTTTTATGGAGTGATTGAACTCTTATTAATTAACAAGTTGAATATACAGCCGTTTAATTGTTCATTAAATTGAAAAAGATGTTCTGAGCTGGTAGCTAGGATTGCCCTCTCATAAAAGGCCTAATTAGCTAAAAGTCCTTACTTAAACTCTTATCTATTCAAAAGACATCAAGGGCAAAGTTGTCATTAAGAGTTTTCCGAATATTTTAACTCCCAAAATACTTAAAATTCGATATGGGTTATATATATCGTTTCGTTCAAAATTTTGCGCTCTATTTTATAAAATTTATTGCGTCAAATTCTGACAACTTTGAAAAATTCACTTAAAACTCGTCGCGACGCATCAAAAAGCGTGCGAGGTCTATAAATGCATTTTTTGCGGGTTTTACAACAAATTCATATGGATGATATGTTATTTAGAGCCAACTATGACGTCATATGTCAAATGTTCTCAAATGTTGGGCCTTGAACTTGAAATGAATATGATAGGAGGGTTAACTTATTTTTTTAGGCTTTCAAGTTAGACAAAAGAAGAATAAAATCTTCCAAAATAAATATATAAAAGAGTTAATCAATTAATTTGATATGGAAGGATATAAGAGTGCAAATACTTCTATGAGCCAAAATACACAGCTGGATAAAGGTACAAGTGGAAAATAAATTAATATAAAATTATTTCAAGGAATGATTGGATCACTTTTGTATCTAACTGTGAGTTGTCTTGTTATCATAATTAATGTATGCTTATGTGCATGGTTTCAAGTTAATTTGAAGGAATCTCATATGAATGTTGTTAAGCATATTTTTAGTTATTTGATTTGTATTTACACTAAAAATTAAGTACTTTAAGAATATCTTTTTATTTAAACTTGTAAGCTATTTAAACTTGAACTTTGCTGGGTGTAAAATTTATAGGAAGAGTAAATTAGGCACATATCAGTTCGTGGGACACTTATTAGTACCATAGTCAAGCGTAAAGAAAAACTTACTTTTACTGTTCACTATTGAAACTGATTGCATAGCAGTTAGTATCTATGCGGCTCAGGTCTTATGACTCAAACAACAATGTATTGATTTTGGAATTTCAGTGGTTAAAATATCAATTAAGTGTGATAATATGAGTGCAATCTGCATAACCAAAAAAAAAATTGATACAACATTCTAGAATGAAATAGGTTGATATTCTTTATCATTTTATTTGGGATTGTGGGTCAATGATGATATGAAAAATTAATTCATTGAAATAGAAAATTAGTTAGAAGACATGTTTACAAAACCATTGGTAATGATATATGTAGTATTCTAAGAATCCAATTTGAAATTATTGACATAAATTTTTGAATTTGCACCCAGTTAGATATTTTGTTTTCTTTTCTTTTATTAAAAGCGAAGATGAAAATCAAGTGTTGATCTTTTGTTTGAATGAGATTATAAAATTGTGAAGGAAAAGAATCATATTTGGCTCTTTCAAATCCCAGGAATTTTTTATGTAGACAATTTTTCTATACAATCCCATATTGTGCTATACAATTGATTAGTTTGTTAAATGTAGCCATTAGAGAGCTGTTGGAGTGTAATAATGAAGCGTATGTGATCATTTTTCGTGGACTTCCGTGAGGTTTTGAATCTGTGAAAGACCCCCTACATTCTTCACACACTTCCTCATACTTCACTGGAAATCCTATTATTTTCTTAGAGTTCTTGTGAGAGGTTTTCCTTATGACAAGCAAAGTGTGTGGATCCGGTTCATCCTCTATTCAGCAACAAAATCTTTGGTTCGAACTATGGAAGATGTTGAAGCTTGTGATCATTATAGTACATTAACCATAATGGACTAAAAGCTAATGATACAAGTATAACTTTTGTATTCCATTCATGATCTCTTTTTCGGAACCACCCTCTAGTTTCTAGTTTCTCTCGCTCACCGCTATCACTCGGAGTTGTTCGTAGAATTCTTTTCCAATCTTCATGTGAACATTGAGTGCACTATTCTTCACTCCTTTGTATGTAGGCAACAAGTCAAGATCACCAATAAGTACTTGCCCGATTACTTGCATGTGTCCAATACTAGGATTCATTCACATTTTGTTTTAGTTAATATTTCTTTTGATTGGATGAATGTGAGCTGAGTTATATGCAATTCTTCTCCTCAACACTTTCCATTGTTGAGTGGCCTTGTTCAGAATGCCCATGTTATTCAACATGCTTTGTAAAAATATCATTCCAAAAGTTGAGGATAGGATAAACATTACCTCATTTCTTTCTTTGGTCACCTACTTTTGCATGAGCCATATTGAGTTTAATGCAACAAATATGATTGTTAATACATTGAAAGCCTTGCCTCTATTCGCAATTTTAAGGTCAAGTATCGAGTATCGACCAAACATTGCCTTTGGCCATGTTTTAGCCTACATCATGGAAGTTAAGTATAACCTCAGCTGTCTTGACCAGCCAAAACACATCCTTGCTTTCTATGACCATTTCTTTCATAACCTTTTTAGTGAGAAGAATGGGTTGTTAATATAATGATAGTGATGATGATGAAAAGAAGCAACAATCATAGCTTAACCTCCTTCCCAAGTTCATCCAACCTATCATTCCCTTTAGGATGTTTGGACGGAGCACTTCATTCATCTTGAGTTGAAGTTAGACAAGCATCCCCCTCATGATTTTTCGACAAAGTATTTCATTAATTTTGAGTTGAGATTACACAAGCATCTCTCTATAAAAAATAAGAGGTGACATCAGCAATATCATGAAAATGCTAAAGCTTGGATGCACGGTTAATTTAGAATGATGAGAGATTATTGACACATATCACGCAATCCGGGTTAGGGACCATCTAGAGTTTGAGATTGTATCTTTCATAGGCTCTTGTAGTTAAGTATGTTTCCTCCTTTTTAATATGATAAAAGGGGAGTAGTTTGTTTGATTATTTGTTGTGTTTAAATGTAGATTAATGTGGTTGCATTTTACATAGTTTATGAGTTTATAGTTTGCATAGTTGTGAGTTTATAATTTATATATTTTTCTTTAGATGTGAACCTTGTGATTGTTATGTGAAATTGTAATTGTTGATTTCATCTAATGTCAAATCTAGCAATTTTTTTTTGAATGCTCACATATTCCCATGATTGTATGAATTTGTGTTTTTACATTAATAGCAAATCGAAAGTGATATACAACAACAACAACAACAATATCAAGCCTTTATCCCACTACGTGGGGTTAGCTACATGAATCAATTTTATCCATTGTGTCTTATTAAGAGTCAAATTCTCATTTAAATATATTAGAGATAGGTAATTTCTAATATTTTGGGACAAAATTGGGATCTCTATATCTCAAAACCTCTATAGTCAATAGGCTTTATCTCAAGAAAAAGTTACACATCTTGCAAATGAATGATTCTAAGCCCTTATTCTCCAAGCCCTTGAATAAGCACTTGGATGATTTCAACTGGATTATCTTGGATTTGAAAAGCATAGGAGTGAACATTGAAGATGAAGATCAAAAAATAATTCTACTAAGCTCATTACCTCCTAGGTTTGAATATTTTGTGGACACCTTGTTGTATTGGAAGGAAACTCTTGCTATGGCCGAAGTCAAGGCCGCACTCAACTCCAAGGAGATTTAAAGGGGGGTTAAGGTGAAGCATGAAGGGGTAGTTGATGCCCTTGTCGTTAGAGGTAGACCCTAGAAGAGAGAGTCCAAAGCTTAAAACCGTGCTAAATTCAAGTCTAAAGGCAAGGTGAAGTGCTTCTTTTGTCACAAGGAAGGCCACTTCAAAAGGCAATGCTCAGAATTGAAGAACAAACATTAAGACAAAGAAAGGAGCAGTGGAGATGCCTCATGTGTGGAGGAAGGGTATGAAAGTTCAGATGCCCTTGTAATCTCAAATATTGAGCCTAGTAAGGAGTGAATACCTGATTCCAGGTGCTCTTATCACATGTGTCCAAACAGTGGGTGGGTTGAAGAGTTGGAAGAGAAGGAGATTTGGTGTTCTTAGGGAACAATAAATCATGTAAGATCTAAGGGCAAAACAACATTCGATTGAAGCTCCATGATGGATTGGAGAGGCTTCTCAAGCAAGTGAGATATGTTTCTGAACATAAAAGAAATCTAATTCCTTTGGGAGAATTTGACAAAAATGGCTACTCATTTAAGTGTGAGTTCTCAAGTGGATGAGACTATTTATGGCACCAAAGGTTTAGACATGTTAGCTAAAGAGGTATGGAGGAGTTGCACAAGTAAGAAGCATTTGGTAGCTTGAAGCCCTAGAAAATTGACTTTTGTGAGCATTATATGGTTGGCAAAGCAAGGAGGCTTCAATTTTCAAATGCATGACATTATTCTAAGGGAGTTTTGGATTATGTACATGCTGATTTGTGCGGGCCAACCAAGCATGAGTCTTATGGAGGAGCAAGATATTTTCCTTCTCTAATTGATGATTATTCTAGAAAGCTTTGGGTTTTATTTTTAAAAAGCAAGAATGAAGCCTTGGATAAGTTTAAGGAATGGAAGATTCTTATGGAGAATCAAGTAGGGAAGAAGGTTAAAAAACTTAGAACTGATAATAGATTGGAGTTTTGTTCTAATGAGTGGACAACTAGCCTATTATAAGGAGTTGAGAATGTTTGGATGTATAGCATATGCTCACATCAAGCAAGGAAAGCTAGAACTCAGGGCTATCAAATGCTTTCATAGGCTATCCTGAAAATGTGAAAGGATATAAATTTTGGTATTTGGAACCAGGAAATCCTAGGTGCATAATCAGCAGGGATGTCACTTTTAATGAATATGAGATGTCTTATCTTGTTCCTAAAAGGGTTCAACCAGTTCCTATGGACGAAATATAAGTTCCTACAGCTGTTGGAAGGTGTTCAGGGGCTGGTTCTAGTTCAAGACAGCAACATCTTGTAGAAATAGAAGTGCTGAACACAAATTCTAAAGGTGTTATTGCTGCTGAAATTGAAGAAATTGAGGAGGAATCCATTGAGGAGTTTCAAAGGAGTTATGGGATGCTTACGGATAGACCTCAACATGTAACAAAGGATCTTCAAAGGTATGGATTTGCTGATGTGATTTTTTATGCTATCTTAGTAGATTCTATGCAATGTGATGAACCTATATCATATAAGGAGGCAATGAGATATGAGGAGAGAAGTGAATGTTAACTTTCTATGAAAGAGGAGATGACCTCTTTAAGGAAGAATCACACTTGGGACTTGGTGGAGAAGCTAAGAGAGAAGAAGCTAGTCACTTATAGTTGGCTATTTAAAAGAAAGGAATGGGTGGTGTTGAAGATAAGCCTAGGTACAAGGCTAGGCTTGTAGCAATGGGATTCACTCAACAAAAGGGGGTGGACTATGAATAAATCTTCTCACCAGTTTTAAGGCACACATCCATTCGTGTGCTCATTTCTTTGGTTGTCCAAATGGATATGCATCTTGAGCAATTGGATGTCAAAATCACATTTTGACATGGAGAATTGGAGGAGACTATCTATATGGAAAAATCGGAAGGGTTAGCTGAAATTCGAAAGGAAAGATTGGTTTGCTTGCTAAGACATTCCCTATATGGATTGAAGCAATCTCCAAGGGTATCAAAGGTTTGACACGTTCATGCATGATGTTGTCTTCAAAAGGAGGAGATATGATGCTTGTGTATACTTGAAGGCAAAGGAAGTAAGTAGTGCTATTAACTTCTTTATGTTGATGATATGTTGTTGGCTAGCTCAAGCATGAAGGAGATTCAAAGGATGAAGGCATACATGCGCATAGTTCCTTATTAGCCGTAGGAAGCATCATGTATGCTATGGTTCGCTATAGGCCTGATTTCGCATATCCTCTTAGTATCTTTTTAAGGTTTTTGGCTGATTTAGGGAAGTCTCATTGGGAGGCAAGAAAGTGGGTGCTTAGGTACCTTTATGGAGCCAAAGATTTGGGTTTGAAGTTTACAAAATCATAATTATATGAAGATGTCCTCTTTAGATATGTTGATTCAAATTTTACAGGATATAATAACACTCAAAGATCTCTTACCGGTTACATATTCAAGGTATATGGGAATACCGTGAGTTGGAAAGGCAAGCTACGACTTGTTGTGGCCTTATCTACTATTGAAGTCGAGTACAAATCAACAAACCGACGAAGATTCTTTGTGACAATCAAAGTGCTAGGTTCTTATCTAAGAACCCCATGTTTCTTGAAAGGACTAAACACATAGACATCAAGTTTCACTTTCTCAAAGAAATTGTGTCTAATGGTGTGATGGAGATTGTGAAGGCATCTATAGAAGATAATGCATCTGATGTGTTAACTAAAGTTTTTCCAAATCCTAAGTTAATATTGCTTAAACTTGTTATGGATGGTAAGGGAGAAATCCTAGTGTTGGATGTTTATTACATTTCCAAATCAAGATCCAAGGTGGAGGTTGTTAAGTGTTGGTTCTTATTTAAATTTTAATTATGTTTTTTTTAATAGTCTTTATGCTATTTTACCCTTTGTCCCTATTGGGTTGTTTTGGTATAGATACGGGTGACTTGTATTGTTTACATACATGAGAGTAAAATAATAATAAATCAGTTCAGTTTTCTTTCTAAAATGTGTGGGCTCTCTCCCTCTTTCCCTTTCTCTATCTCTCGATGGAAGCAGCCAGACAACTGTTGGTTCTCATCCCTGGCAAGGGAAATGGTTGCGGTGGAGGAGAATAACCAGAGAGAAGGTGGCTCTTGGTATAGACAGGGAGAAGGAAGCTGCGGTGGAGGTGCAACTGTGAAGGGGACCGGGTGAAGGAGAAGAAGCTGCTGTTGCTGGAGAAGAAGACAGCAGGTTATTGCTGTTTGGAGAAGAAAACACCAAGGTGCTAAATTCAATCCATTCATAACCTGATTGTCATTAGATTGCATTATAGTGGTAATTCTTTCCCCTCTGAGATTCATTTTTAACTAGAGCGCTCTAATAGGAAATTGAACTATAGGTCAGCGAATGCCTTGGTATTGATGGCCTTGGGTTGTAATACACTTTACATTGAACTCAAACTTCAAAAAAGGGGAGTTCACCTTGTGTTTACAATTTTTATCTTTATGATACACTTTTGAATAATAAAAATTGAATTTGGTGAAATTTTTAAATATTAACAATGTGGATCATACAGGATATTTGAAGAATTTGAAGGCATAGAAAGTGAAATCTTGAAAATGAAGAATCATGTTTCAACACAAAACATGCTTGTTGAAGAGTTTATGAACAGCTTCCATTCAGAGATTATATTGGAGAAATTGGAAAATTTGAAGGATGAGTGTGTTGAAGATCTCGATCTAGATTTTCCAACCTGGATGGAGACTCGCATGCAAAATATTTTGGAAACACTGGACATTCTTATGTCAGAGCACCGGATGGAAGAGGCTTTGGTTGTCTTGGAGAAGGAGACCCAAAACATGCAGAAGTTGCTGAAGGAAAAGGATGGTTTATTGCCAATTATCAGTTCATTTGCATATGCAATTTCAGAGTTGCAAACTGCGCTTGCTGAACAGTTTACTTCATTGGCTGGACACAGGAGAGTAACCTGGCCAGAACTCCATAACGCATTATTTGGACTCTGCAGACTTGGTGAAAGTGACCGTGCAATTGTTTTGTTACTAAATTTCTATCATTTACAACTTGAAAACAGTGTAAAAGAGCTGAAATGCTCGGCACCATTTCCTCATGAAACTTACACATTGGAACTTACCAAGGTTGTCTTCTCTACCATTTCTCAGGCCACAAGGAGTTTTGTTTTGTTGTTTGGGGAAGCATCTCCTTATACTTTGGACTTAATGCAATGGACTAGAGTAGAACTTGAAGTGATTTATCATAGTTTTGATATGTCTGTCAAATCAATGTCAGAGACAAGTTTTGCCTTAGGTTTGGCCGTTGAAATTATGAACATTTCTTTTTCATTTTGTTCATTATTGGAGCAGGAGAGACTTAGCTTGCGGGCTGACGTGATTAAGCTGATGAAACCTTGCATCACAGAGGTATTGAAGATGCATTTTGATCAGTTGAGAAAAGTTGTTAGTCTATTTGCTTCTACTGATAATTGGGTCCTGGGGAAATTTCCTTTTTCGGAAAAATTTAGTAATAAATCACCTTTAATGGAAATCAATGGAAAATTGGAATACCTCCAGCTTACAAGTAGTGGAAGAAAGTTTATCACACTAATGCAGGTATGACAGATTAAACCAATAGCATTACAATGCATTAGAGTTCTATACAAGGTTCAACTACTTTTTAATAATTAACTTATTCTAGTTTCTATGTATGATATGCATTTGATTATCTTTCTTTGTAGGGGAGTTTGAAAGATACTGCCATAAAGTTTATTTTTATCCTAATTGTTTGACAAGTAGTCACCTTTTACCATTTCCAAAATTTCCGTAGGCTAAATTTATGTCATTTATTCAGCGCACCTTCTATTTTCACTTAAGTGATTCAAATTATTGTTTTTGTCATAATCATTTTTCACAACTTTCAGGAGCACATTTCATTTTGAGGGTTTTAGCTTGTATTAATGAGCTACTGGCTTCATAAATGTTGCCTCTTATGCTATTGTGCAAACTGTCTATTAATTAGCACATTATTAGGGCTTAGCATTTTAACCTAAAATTTTAATCTCTTAGTTGAGAGCCAACGAAGTGTTTATCTAATTTAATATGTTTTCCAATTATCTGAAGTGAGGTTAAACTCAGCTCTTTTGCTTTAATGAATATTCTTATATTTTGGTTTTTTACTAATGGGGAGCTGGGGCCGGTCAAGTTCAAGCCAACCGGGACTTCATATTTTTCGTCTTGTTATTTTTTTCTGTAATTTCTTTTGAAAATTTGGTTTTTTCTGTTATTTTCCTCCTAAAGGTCTCTAGAGGTAGTCTTATCTTATAAATAAGACCTACCTCCCTCTTTTGTAAGTAGTATTTGGTATGAATTAACAAATTTTAGAAATCTGTCCAGATTTTTCTTCTTCGCTGTATACTGGCCGAGCCAGGTGTTGGCTTCTTTCTTTCCAACTATCCACAGTTGGCTGTGCATTCCTCTTCTCTAACCTCCCCTGCTGTACGCCTCCCTACAGTAGCCAAACGGTCCTATCCAGCTACTGTTCGTCACCTCCAGAAGCTGCAGGAAGCAACTGTGGCTGTCCAACTGTTGTCCATCTTCTTCCCCACCCTCCAGAACTTTTATCAGCCTCGTTTCCAGGCCACAACAAGTTAGCCGACTTGCTGTTCTTCCTTAATTTTCTCTTCAGCATGAGGTTCTGTGATGCAATCGAAAGATTGCCAAATTACATACAAGCTATGTCTTCTTCCAAAATACCTCAAAATAACAAAATACAACTTTCATAGAAGTAAAACGACGCTTACAGACTTATGAAATAAAACTCCCAAACTTGCATTCGTTGATTGAGAAGAAAGATACAAATGGGGTGATCACTTGTGGAGAGAAGAAATAGATAAGATGCTGAGACGAAGTCGAAGAGAGGACAAGCTCGCAAGCTTTCCCAAGAAGACGAAGAGGAATGGAACAAGCTCGCATGCTTTTCCAGCAAAAACCCTAAGGTTTTGTTCCAAAAATAATTTCATAAACTCTCCTTCTTTTTAATCACCAAAACATCTCATATATATAGGAGAAAAGGGGCAGCCAAACAGCCCATAATGACCTCCAACTGAGCCAATCAGGATAGGGAAAATTGAAGGCCAAAAGGCTGTCCAAGAGCAGCAGCCGAAGGGCCACACGGAGGACAGGAATGGGCAGCCAGGGGAACCGGAGCAGGCAATCAGGGGAACCAGAACAGGCAACCAAGGGAATCAGATTAGGCAGCCAAGGGCCAAGGGAACTTCAATTCCCTATATTCAGTTTTAGATCTACTAAAACGAAATCTTTTAGACTCTAAGGTTGACCTCCATGATTCAAGTTTACCTTCAACAACCTCTCTAGCCTTATTAACAAGAAGAATATCATTAGCAAAAAGCATTTGGTAATTTGAATCATTCATATAGTTATATGCATGGGATTGTCATTCCATTTACATAATGTACTTAATAGATATGTAACTTACATGAAGTCACAATCATGGTAAAATTTTATGCTTAACAAAACTCAGAATTAACTTCTATCCATATTTGCATTCTCTCATGCATACAAAGTATATTTACAACTTTGCATTCGTAAGCATGGCTTTTCATGAACCGAACAAATAAATAAACCAAAGCAATGTTTTTCATAATAATATAATTGATGTTTTATTCACTATATCAAAGTGGTGCCAAGCTTTAACTTCTCAAAACCAAATTTGAAATTCTATAAGCATCAATTACCCTTTAAAATTTAAATGCTACCATATAGGAAAAGCTTGTTCTGCATTGCACAAATTGGAGAATTTTGGTTGTTCTTACAAGCAAATGCGATCCAAATACACATGGCTAAATAGAAGGGGCCTTGTGGATATTCAGCAAAAGAATACTATAAAGGTTGTTGATGCTATCAAAATATTATGTATTTTTATTGAACATTAGTATGTTTTTTTTATGTTATTTTCTTTTTTTAGCTATCCAATGATGGGAAAGCATCCAATGATCATGGTAGGTTGTGCTTGGGGCTTGGTAGACCTTTGGTTTGCTGGCTCGATTGGTCCTTGGCTGCTGCTGGTTCACGGGTTGGCTTATGGTCCACGGTTTTGGAGCCTATGGTGATGTGTGGAAGAGGATGGTTCATTGGAGTTGAGCTTAATTTCTAAAGTTTCTAGCTCATTACTGATGAGTTGAAGTTTAGTAGCTCATTAATGTTCTAAGGTAAGCTCATAAGTTTGATTCATTATTGGAGTGGTCTTGTCCCTTCTCCTCCCCTTTTCTTCTTTAAAATTTATCCTTGTCTCATGGGATTCCGTGGCTATTTTTTGGGCTTCCTGTGCTGGTTGTTTTTCGTGCCTTGGCTCCTTGGTTTCCCCGTTGGCTGCTGTTTTCCGTACTGGGTGGCCTTTCTGTGTCTTTTGGCGCCTCGGTTCTGTGCGGGCCTCTTTGGTTCCGTGGCTGCCTCTTCGGTCCCTGGCTGGGCTGTTTCCCGTGAAATGATGGGGGGATTTCCGTGGTTTGTGCTGCTTGGATTCATGTGGGAATTCAATAATATGGCTGTTTGGTTTCTCCTCTCTTTCCTATAAATAAGAGATATTTTGAGGAATGGAGTTGATTATTGAAAGCAAATTTGCTATAAACCTGCGGGTTCTTGGAAAAGCTTGCGAGCTTGTTCCATTCTTCTTCTCATCTCCTCTAGGAAAGACTTGCGAGTACTTTCCACCCTTCGTCTCGGCTTCTAACCTCTTTCATCTCTCCGCAAGTTCCACTCCATCTGTATCATTCTTCTTGAGCTTTGGTGATGTTTGTTGGTTGATTGGGAGCATTTGATGGACGGGACAATTGGACTATCTTGCAGTGGTGGACCATCAGTTTGCTAACCCTAAAGCACTTATTTTACTTAACCTTCATTTCGATGCATATGAGGAACCGGCTCTGACGGTTGTATGAGGATAGCGTTGTTTTAATTTTCTTTATTTCTCTGAATTCTCTTCTAGTTTTCTTCGCCAGATTTTGGATGTTATAGATGATTGCTACTATTTGAATCGAGTTTGGTTTAGTTCTGCCCATTGTTCTCTTTGTGTTTGGCTTTTCTAGCTAGTGTGCTTACATCAAATTGGTATCAGGGCAAGTTCGCTTATTTTTGGGTTGGTAGGAGTCTTTCTCTTTAGTGTTTAACAAATGGCTAATGATCATGGGGATTGGCAACAAATGATTCAACAATTGAATAATTTGCAACAAAAAATCAACACGGTAGCTGAAGCAATTGCTAATTTGAATGTTAATCAAGCTGATGTTAATCCTAGTATTCAAACTTCTGAAAGTGAGGAGGAAGAACCTAGAAATCAAAATAGGCGACAAAGAAATTGGGATTACGGAATTAAAATCAATGGCCACAATTTTGAAGGAAAATTACAACCTGAATAATTCATTGAATGGGTAAAAAAAATGGATCAATTTTTCGAATGGAAAGAAATTATGGATAATCGAAAAGTCAAATTCATAAGTTTAAAACTGATAGGACATGCATTAACTTGGTGGAAAAACTTACAAAACAACAGATTAAGGTGAGACAAAGAAAAAATTCAAACTTGGGATAGGATGAAAGAAAATATGAAAAGAAAATTTCTGCCTTCTGATCATTCAAGAACTATCTTTCAGGAATTTAACAATTTGCGTCAAGGAAATCAAACTGTGGAAGAATACACTGAAAATTTTTATAAATTGCAAGTTATAAAGGATTTGGATGAGTCTGAGGAGAAAACCATAATAAGATATCTTAATGGGTTAAAATGGACAATTCATGATCAACTTAACTTGCATCATGTCATTAAATTAGATGAATCTTATCGCATGGTCTTGAGAGTTGAAAAACAACATTTGCGGGGAAGCAACAAAATAACGGAAACATTTAAGCGACGACAAACTAGTGGGACTAAACCTCAATCTCAAACTTCTGCGGGAACTTCGGGTGTGAAAATTAAAGCTATTGAAAGTCAAAATCAAAATAAGGGTAAAGGGGTAATGGGATCTAGACCCACTGAACAATCTAAACTGGTTGGGCCTTGTTACAAATGTGGTATATATGGTCATTTGTCGGCTACTTGCAGAAAAAATAACCCTCCACGAAATAACTTCATAGAAAAGGAAAGGGAAAAGGAAATAGAGGAAGAGGAAGAGGAAGAGAACGAAACAGAATTTGAAACAGAAACTGAAATGGAAAAGTTTGACTTGGAAGGTGATGAAGGAGAACCATTGTTAGTAATTCGATAAGTTTTAACTTCTCAAATTGAAAAGGAAGATAAATGGCTTAGAAGAAGCATCTTTTGGACCACCTGCACTGTTGAAGGAAAATTTGTACCTTAATGATTGATAGTGGAAGATCAGAAAATTTTGTGTCACAACACATGGTGAAGAAGCTTAAATTGAAAACAAAACCTCTTGTTAAGTCATATAAAATATCTTGGTTTAAAGAGGGGGGTAAGGTTCCTATAACCAAACAATGCACTGTGAACTTAACAATTGGAGGTACTTACAAGAATCAAATTGTCTGTGATGTTGTACCTCTTAAAGTCTGTCATATCCTTTTAGGTCGTCCATGGTAGTATGATTATAAAACCATTCATGATGGAGAAAAGAACACCTATACCTTAATTAAAGATAATAAGGAGTTCACTCTTTTCCCACAAAAAAATATTTCTGACCCAGCAATAAAAAATAAAAAGTCTGCGAAATCTTCCACTCATGAATTTTTTTTAAACACAAATGAATTAACACCGTCTGATGTGGTATATTTGGTGCTTGGAAAAGAAACTGATTTAACTCTTGAGATTCCTATAGAAATATAACCGTTGCTTGATGAATTCTCTGATTTGATACTTGAGGAGTTACCAACTGGTTTACCCCCAATGAGAAACATTCAACATCATATTGACTTAATTCCTGGAGCTACATTGTCTAACCGTTCACATTACATGATGAGTCCAAATGAACATCAAGAACTTTCTAAGCAAGTATCTGAACTGTTGGAAAAAACGTTTAATCCAGGAAAGTCTAAGTCCTTATGTTGTGCCTGTTTTTCTTATTCCTAAAAAAGATGGAACATGGAGAATGTGTGTGGATAGCCGATCCATAAATAAGATAACTATCAAATACAAGTTTCCAATTCCTAAGTTGGACGACATGCTAGATATGCTAAGTGGTGCTAAAGTTTTTTCTAAAATTGATTTGAAAAGTGGGTATCATCAGATAAGAATTAGACTTGGGGATGAATGAAAAACTGCTTTTAAAACAAAAGAAGGCTTGCATGAATGGCTTGTTATGCCTTTTGGTTTGTCAAATGCTCCAAGTACTTTTATGCGAACAATGAATCATGTTTTGCGACCTTTTATTGGGAAGTTTGTGGTAGTTTATTTTGATGATATTCTGATTTACAACATTCGTCCATCTGAACATCTTTTTCATGTCAAACAAATTTTGCAAACTTTGAGGGAACAAAAATTGTATATCAATTTGAAGAAGTGTTCTTTTATGACTTCAAGTTTGACATTCTTGGGTTACATTGTGTCTGCTAAGGGAATCAAAGTAATTCCTTTGAAAATTGAGGCAATAAAGAGCTGGCCTGTTCCTAAAAATATCAGTGAGGTAAGAGGTTTTCATGGGTTAGCATCTTTTTATCGTCGATTCATTAGAAACTTCAGTTCTGTGATCGCTTATATCACTGATTGTTTTAAAAAGGGAATCTTTAAATGGACCCCTGAGGCTGAAAATACTTTTCAACTTATCATAATCAAAATGAGTCAAGCTCCAATTCTTAGTCTGCCAAATTTTGAAAAAGTTTTTGAAGTTGATTGTGATGCTTCGAATGTTGGTATTGGTGCTGTTTTGAGTCAGGAAGGAAAGCCTATTGCATATTTTAGTGAAAAATTAAATGATGTTCGATCTCGATATTCTACTTATGACTTGGAATTTTATGCTATTGTTCAAGCTTTAAAATTTTGGAGATGCTATTTGATTCATCGGGAATTTATTTTGAATACTGACCACGAGGCTTTACGATTTTTGGGTTCACAAAAAATCTGAGCAAAAGACATGCCAAATGGGTTTCTTTCTTGCAAGAGTATTCTTATCATATCAAACATAAAACTGGGGTTTTGAATAAGGCTAAC